TAATTAATTACTTGTGTGTGTGCATGGGCATTTGTGAATGTAGATGTGTGTATCTCCATGGGTGCCATGGAGTCCAAAGAGGGAATTGGGTCCCCTAGAGCTGGGCTTACAGGCTACTATGAGCCACCTGTTGGGTTCTAGGAACCAAACTAGAATCTTTGGCAAGAGAAGCAAGTGTTCTTAATCACTGAGTGATCTCTTCCACTCCGCCAACTGGCGTTTTAAAGGAATGTATTTCATTTTATGTGTATTTATCTCTCTCTGTCTCTCTGTCTCTGTCTCTGTCTCTGTCTGTCTGTCTGTCTGTCTGTCTCTCTCTCTCTCTCTCTCTCTCTGTGTGTGTGTGTGTGTGTGTGTGTGTGTGTGTGTATGTGCGCGCATGTGGCTATCAGGGCCCTAGGAGGCCAGAAGAGGGAGTTAGGTATCCTGGAATTGGAGTTATAGGCCCTTGTGATACGAATGGAACTCAGGTCCTCTGCAAGAGCAGCAAGTGGTTCTAAATACTGTGTGGTTTCTTCAGCCCCTCACGTGGCTATTTTAAAAGTGATGGGCAGGGTTTGGTGGCACACACTTTTAGTCCCAAACTCAGAAGACTAAGGCAGAAGGACTGTTATGAGTTCGATACTAGCCTGGTGTAGATATTGAGTTTCAGGCTAGCCAGGGCTACATTGTGAGGTCCTGCCTCAAAGTAAATAAACAAAATAAAGTAAAAATTAAAAAGTGACTACTCTCACCCAAATAAACATTGCTTTTTTATTCCAACATTTCATATTTATTTATCATTTATTTATTGAACAGGATCTCAGGCTTCATGCCAGATTGGCCTGGAACTCACTATTAGTCCAGACTGGGTTCAAATTTACTGCAATCTTTCTGCTTTAGTATCCCAAGTGTTGAATTACAGAAATGAGCTACCACGACTGTCAATCTATGTCTTTGCCTCTCTGTCTCTCTCATGAAGGCTTTTCTGGAATTTGTTATGCTTCTGCCTCAACCTCTTATGTACTGGGATTAAAGGCTTGTGCCGTCATGCCTGTCTGGCTTCATTTTAATATCACTTCCTGTATCTCTATAAAATATATGTTATTATAATTTTATAAATAAATCTATATATGATATTACATATAATTTTATATAATGTATATATAGTTATATATAAGATCACATATAATATAATTTATGATAATATAGTATTATATATATATTTTGTTTGTTTGTTTTTTTGAGACAGGGTTTCTCTGTGTAATAGCCCTAGTTGTGCTGAAACTAGCTCTTGAAGACCAGGCTGACTTTGCACTCATAAAGATCTGCCTGTCTCTACTTCCCAAGTCCTGGGATTAAAGGCATGCGCCACTACCACTTTTAAAATTGATTTGTGGTTATAAAAGACAAAATAAAAACTTGGAAGAATTAGAAGCCACCCAAGGGTTTGTGCTTGTCCTTTGCTGCTCTCATGGAAGTCTTCAGGCAGTAGACATTCATGTTGCTGAAGGAAACGTTAGTGGCTGGCAGTTCTCGGAGGTGTGCCTTCCTAGATCCTTAAGCTTCTCTCCTGAGTGTGGGCACTCTCTTCTCATGCTGGGACTTTAATATTTTTAAATCCTCTTTACTCTAGGTAGCTGGTCATATGCTAACAAAGCGATCCGAATCGTTCCGCGTCTGAAAACTAATCAATCTCCACAGACTTTCCAACTTCAGATTCCCTTGAGCTCGGTTTTCAGCTTGGGAGCAGGTGCCAGCAGAATTCCTCTTTGCAGGAATTTCAAAGAGTTCATTTATTCCCAGGGTGGAGTCACATCTCCCCGGAGCCCAGCTGCTTCCATGCTCGTCAGCCTGACAAGATCGAGGTGACCTGTTTGCTACACATGAAGAAATAGTTTTTATCTTGTAGCCCAAGCTAGCCTCAATCTTGTAAGTAAAATGACCTGGTAGTCCAGGCTAGCCTCGATTTTGTATGTAAAATGACTGTGTACTTCTGACCCTCCTGCCTCTATGTCCTGTGTGTTTTTTGTTTGTTTGTTTCAAGACAAGCTGACTTTAAACTCAGAAATCCTCTTGCTTTAGCCTCTAAAGTGCTAGGATTCAAAGTGTGGGCTACCTGGCCTGGCTCCCTGGAGGTGATGTTGAATGTGTGTATCTAATCATTTTGATGAAATTAGACAGTCATTCTACCTTATTAGAATTTGGTAGCTGTTAAAGACAGGAGAAGTGTGTGGCCACGCCTAATTCAGAAGCATTGCTCATTTAGGATGCCAGACCTGGATTCTGATGTTGGGGCTCCCTAAACTTCTCCTTTTTTAGGTAGGGTCTCATTGTGTAGACCAGGCTGGCTTGGAATTCGCTATGTACGTCATGTTGGCCTCCAAGTCCCAAAGATCGACTTGCCTCTGAGTTTCTCATTTCATCACTTCCTGACCCTGTGCAGAACTCTGTGAATGTAGGGTACGGCGCAGAGTCTGAAGAAGTAATGTATTTTTGTCCCTTCTGTAGGCACTTCTTTCTAGAACCCGGGAAATGATGGCAGGGGGTGGAGGAATGTGGGAGGGGGCAGACAAGACAAAAGAGCAGAGACTTCATTAGATTGTCTTGAGTTTGAGAGGCAGGCAACCCCCTGTTCTTCATTGCCAGTGGCCACTGGACTGCTGGACACTCACTGACCCAGCTCCTCATAACCCTAGATTATACAGGTAAGAGGACTGTGAATGGCTTCTTACAGTGTGTATATCAGTGTGTTAAGAGCGGATAGCTAGGTTCCAAAGGGCATCCATTTCTGACCAGCTTTGTAAATCGACAAGATAAGCCTTGCCAAAGTTCAAGGGTGGATTGCAATCAATTGTTTTATGGTGCTGATGACAGCTTAATGATGGAATTATATGGAGAGAAATCAACTAAGGGAGAGTTCTGTTTGTTACCTGGCTCCAGAGATGAAATTGTTTATTATTTTTTGTAATAGTTTTAGAGAAAAGAATATATTACTTATACTATGTCATGAAGCCTAAATACTATTTAATATTATTATTGTTATTTTTTAGAGCTTTTTTAAAAATACAGGACCTAATTATGTAACCCTAGACCATCTGAAATTCACTGTAGACCAGGCTGGCTTCAAACTCACAGAGTCTAACCTGCCTGCCCAGTTTCACACAATGTTTTTGAGGGTGATAAAATTATACGAAGTATCTTATATAATCAAAATGAAAATTATATTAGGGCCAAGCAATTCTATTCCCATATATTTTTACATAAGAGGCTGAAAACACATCCAGAAAATATGTGCATAGATTCATGGACAGGCTTATTCACAATAGCCCAAACTGGACCAGGCTTAGGGTTCCATTGAGCAGAGAATTCACATGTAGATTGTTATAGATTCACACAATGAAATACCATTCAACAATACTGATACAACACAAATAAATCTTTAAAAACTCTACGTGTGTGTGCATAGTGTATTGAGGAGAAGAATATTTGCCATTGTGGGGAATGAATAATGACTGACTAGATAGGAAAATGAAGAATTTTCTAGATAGAGAGTGAGAGTGGTGTTCTATACCTCAACAGAGATTTGTATTACACTCACCAAATGCCACGTTAAATATTATGCCTTTCAGTGGACACTAGATATTTTTTTTGAGGTAGGTTCTTTATGATACAGACCAGGTTGACCCCAAGCTTGTAGAGATCTGCTGACCTCTGCCTCCTGACTGCTGGGATTAAAGGTGTACACAACTATGCCAGGAATTTTTTGAAGGGTCTTTAAAATTTTCTTCTTTGAGAGTTTCACAGGTGTATTCAATATATTTTGGCCATACCTCCCCTTACCACTCCAACTCCTTCCGGACCTGTCACCAGGTCTCCTTTCTATGCCACTGGGAAGGAGTTTCTAGCCTAGGAAAAAGGTGACATGGTGAACCCAAGTGACATATTTTCTTCACTGTTTAGACTTAAGTTTGCTGCAGTCTTTAACTTTATAATACATCATACACATGATGAAGCTAAAGTGATGGGGGTGTAGATAGATGGACTGTAGACAGCCAGAGAGGCAGCTAGCACAACAGCGTGCCAATCATGACTTCCATATTGTTGATTTCTGGATATTCTTGATGCAGTCACTCTATTTTCTTTCAGGCCGAAACTACTTTCAAGATGAAACTCTAGGAACACAAAGGCATTGCCACTGAAGGCCTAAATAACTGACCTTAGGCACAAAAACAAACAAACAACCTCCCCAAAAAAACATCGTAAATGCATACATATATATAATAAGTATTGCACCCCAAAGAGCCTTAAAAATTGTTAACAATGCAATATCGTTTGCTCTCTATCCTGACGCAAGCAAAAGTTCCACACTTACCACATCCTGAGCAAATCTGACTTGTCGGTTCCCTCAGTGTGACCTTTGGAGATGTATACATACCTGCACATCCTTCCTAAAATTCCTAGATTAAATATGTAGAAAAATAATGTGGGCCACAGATTTTTATCAGCTGGTCATTATATAAAGAGATATATTCAAGAGGAAATGCTATCATTTAATCTGCTTTTAATTGTCACAATAAATAAGAAGGGCTTTATTTAACTATGTTGCCCAGCATTTTTCTTTGTAGTTCTTTCTTGTTTCGTGGTACCACGTTTTCCACAGTAAGAAAGTACCAGAACTCAGTAAAGCTTTGTGGTTTAATTTAGTTTGTTCAATTGCTCATGAATTCAACAAAAATACACATTTTCTAGCTTTGGAGAAAAAAATGAGGACAAACCAGAGAAATGTAGCAGAGGAGAGGGAAGCCCCTTTCAGGACATGTTTCCAGCAAAGTAGACAGTGTCCTTCAGTCTGGGAAGTTAAAAAAATATTTTTTACTGTTAAAAAAAAATACATTCAGGAAGAAACAAGCAGCAGACTCTTGTATCTGGACTAGAAAAACATCTTAACAGTCCATATGAATGAACAAAAAAGTTTCATTTTAAGGCAAAGAAAACACTGGAATCATATAATCACTTACCAGAAACATTCCTATCCCGAGAGAAGCCAGGAAGGACCGGTGAGGCTGGTGCAGACAAGAATCTTCTGTGTGTCAGATTAGAAGGAAACTTCGCCTGTTAGTGTGCGGTCTCACTGGCTCTCCTGCAGGCCATGAAAATGTGGGTTTAGGATGCTACTCCATTGCCCGAGCTCCCTAATCTGCCTGGCTTTTAATCAGGACTCCTCCGATGTGAATTAACATTCTCAAGGCGAAGAATAAACAAATAAAGGCTCACTTCCTTGTGAAGAACTGACGAGGAAACAGGAAGTGGTGTGAGTATTCTGCTGTTTACTTTTTTCCATCACACACCTAACTGCAAATACCATTAGCTTATAGGACAGGGAGCCGGCAAACACTACCCGTGGGCAGGCACGCACGAGCCTTGTGGGCGTGACATAAGACTGTGGTTGATCTTTAATGTATCCTTTAACCTTAAGGACACAGCCCGGCTGGAGGGAAGAGAATTTAGTACGCAGGTAACTTCCCAGCCATGCTTACTTACAGACTTCGTACCTGCTTGCTGAGTTTGGGTTCTGTTTTCATGGGTCCCTTTTCAGGGCTTTCTGCTACTGCCCTACAGTGAGGAGCTCTTGGGCGTTCTTTCTTCTTATTCAATATTTTCTGTTAGTGAAATTTGCAGGGTAATGGCTGGATCTGGAAAGTGTTATATTAATTGAGGTGACCTAAACTCAGAAAGACAAAAATGCCTATCTTTTTCATATGTCGATCCTAGCTTGTACTCTACACAGGTATGGGCGAAGCTTAAGTGGAGGAAGGAAGGAAGGAAGGAAGGAAGGAAGGAAGGAAAAGGGAAAATACCCTGTGAAATACCAGCCAAATTTTAATGCAATAAAATTAATGCGATGAAGGAAGTTGCAGATGCCACACAGAAACACCAAGTTAAATCCACTAAACTGAAGATAAATGGAGATGGCTGCTGATCCGGTTCTGCTAGGGTCAAGGTGCTTGCTGTCAACCTGATGACCTGAGTTTGATCTCTCGGATCCCCATAGCAGGAGGAGAGAACTGACTTCTGCAAGTTGATCTTTGCCCTCCACATGTACACACACACACACACACACACACACACACATACACACACGCGTAATTTAAATGAAAAAAAAGTTTCAGAAAGCCTAGGTAGGACCTCAAAGAAGTCCAGTGAAAAAGCCTTCTCCCTGGCTTCTTCTTGGCAGCACGGAAAGGAGCTGGACTGAAACAGCAGAGTTCGGAACGATTGGCACGGGATTCCACATCCAGCCTGCCCCTGGTGTTTAGAAAAAGGCATGATGGCTACCCAGGACAGAAAATCAGAAGCATGGCTAGAGCTGACGTGACAGCTGTTAGAAGAAATGAGCTGTGATCACATTATCACACCCAGCACACTGGTGTGCAGTAAGAGACAGCCTAGAGACTGAGAACACGGCAGGACTGCTATTGCAGAGAAGACGCCGGCTAAGGTGAAATGTCACAGTGTAAACATGTGTGCAGTTGTGCAGTGCATTCAACGTCCAGTATCTCCCTGTCACTTTCCATCTTACTGTTGAGACAGAATTTCTCAGTGAACCTGGAACTTGGTGCTTCAGCTAGTCTTGCTGACCAGTGAGTTCTGAGACCTTCCTTCCTGTCTTTGCTCCCCCAACCTCCGGCACTTGGGTTATAGGTGTTACTATTGTCCTTGTGGTGATTTGCATAAGTATGGCCCCCATAGACTCATGTATTTGAATGCTTGGCCCATCGGGAGTGGCACTATTAGGAGGTGTGGCTTTGTTGGAGGAAGTGTGTCACTGTGAGGGCATGTTTTGAGGTCTTTTATGTGCTCAAGCTATGCCCAATGTGGTATATGGTTGTTTCTGTTGCCTGAGGATCAAGATAAAGGAGTCTCAGCTCCTTCTCCAGCACCATGTTGGCCTGCACACCACGGTGCCCCATCGTGATGATATGGACAAAACCTCTGAAACTGTAGCCCAGCCCCAATGAAATGTTTTTTCTTTATAAGAGTTTCTGTGATCATGGTGTCTTCCCATAGAAATAGAAACCCTAAATAACACATTACTTAACTTTTACATTGATCCTGAGGATCTGACTTGAGGGCTTCATGTTTGTGAGGCAAGAACTTTATCCACTCAACCATTTTCCTGGCCCAGATACCAGATTCTCAGCACAAAGGAGATTTATTAGTCAAGAGGGGTAAGTAATGGGGGTTGGGACTGGGGTGGTGGTAGGCTGTTTCTGGATTGGGTAAAGGCCAGCAGTAGCTGCTGCAGTAACAGAAGGTGGGCTTATTTACTTACTTATTGCAAGAGTGGGTTTTTAAGGAGAAAAAGGGTTGTTAATGCTAGGGTCAGTCCTGACTGGACATAACAGACAAATAATGGATTTTTTCATTGTTGGACGAATGAATCAATGGCCAAATAAGATAATGGACCTAGCTTAGGAATGGAATGTAATAGTTAGGAAGGGAGAGAAGGGTAAAGGACAAAGCTTATTGGTGCCTGTGTTTGCCCTTAGTTTTCCTTTTTTGTTTTGTTTTGCATTGTTTTTTTTCGAGACAGAATTCCTCTGTGTAGCCCTGGCTGTCCTGGAACTCGCTCTGTAGACCAGGCTGGCTTGAACTCACAGAGATCTGCCTACCTCTGCCTCCAAACTTTTGGGATCGAAGATATGCACCACCACTGCCCTACAAGAGTTCCTCTTTTTAACAAAGTCTTGGACAGAAATCTTTTGTGTCTCCAGAAAAATTAGGAACTGACATGCCATTAACCTTTCCCTTCTGGGGCACACTTCTTCTAGACTCTTGAGGGCCCTGTCTCTACACGTTTCAAAGAGACAAAGTTTGTGCTCTGTGGCTGGGACCCAGCCAAGGGTTTTCCACATGTTAAGTGTGAGCTCTAGTTTTAAACTGTACTCCTAACCCATAAAAGAATAACTTTTAATCTTTCTTCTTTTACTGTGTAAGAGTTTAATTAGATTTACAGAAATTCCAAAAGATTCTGTTGTGTGTCTTCCATATCTTTGAGTCATCAAGCCTACAGGACAGAGTCAAGGAGTCTGCAGAAGAGTGATTGCCCTGAGACTCATCACAGTTATCCCTTTGGCAAGGTGAGTGATTGCTAACTGCTGCTGGTCTCTGTGGTGTAGCAGTCCCCACGATGTCTTCTGTAATTTCATCATCAATGCTACATGAATACAGCAAGTTCTACTATCCACTTGGCTTAGAAGGAGGCTCATTTTGCAATCTGGACTGGTTACAAGATTCTTTCTCCATAAACACAAACAGTAGGGGTTTACAATCTTCCCTTTGACTCTGATTGCTTGGTGGCCCTATGTACTTCTGCCATGACACTATTTGGCCAGTTTTGACTTTTAATTCTCAAAAACCACTTGTTACAGAGAGTGGTGTCCCTTTTTCGTCCCTGCCACCCAGCTAACTTATACCCAAAATAACCACACAGAAACTGTATTCATTTAAACACAGCCTGGCCTGTTATCTCTAGACTCTTACTGGCTAATTCTCACATCTTGATTTAACCCATTTCTAATAATCTGTGTTCACCATGAGGTCGTGGCTTACTGGGAAAGATTTAGCATGTCTGATTCTGGAGGCTCCATGGTGGCTCTCTGACTCTGCTTTTTTCCTCTTAGAGTTTAGTTCCGTCTTCTCTGCCTATGTAAGTTCTGCCATATCAGGCCAAGCAGTTTCTTTATTGATTAACCAATGAAAACAGCAGATAAACAGAAGGACCTCCTACACCATTTCCCCTATTTTGTTTAAAAGGGAAAGGAAAGCTTTAACTTTAACATAGTAAAATTACATATAACAAAATAGTTATTAAGCAAGAATTATAGTTACAATGTTTATATCTATTTTATTTTTTATCATAACAAAGGAAAACTACAACTATAATTGTCTATCTATTTTAACTCCAGAAAGATATAATATTACCTAAGTAAACAGGAAGTGTATTATAAACAACTTTTAAAACTCTAGAACTGACAGAGACATCTTGCTGCCTGGTCATTTACCCAAAGTTCTTTTGTACCATTGGGGCATTTATCTTTAGCTTATAGATCTATAGTATTTAGCAGACTTTTCCATGAAGCAGGAAATTTTAAAGACAGTTTAGTCACTTTTTTGTGTCCTGTAGAATGTTTCACAGACTCTTTAATGAAACAGGAACCCTAAGGATCATCTCACCTTTGGGCAAGTTTAGCAGTCATCTCTCTGTGGGTACTGCAGGTCCAGTGAAGCAGTCCAGGCAAGAGCAGTTTCTTACTCAACTGGCTAACAAATTCCATAAGGAGCCTCTTCAATTCCCATCTTCCTCTTGAAGTAGCTGGTGAGGCCAGGAGAAGATGCATTTTATTGTCATGAAAATCCCTAAGTTATTAAAACATTTTAAATGTCATACTTTATAGTCTTTGAAAGATATGAAAATTGCCTATCTAACTGAAATATATCTCTATATATCAAAGAAATCTAACTAACATGACTACAAGCTTGACTATTATTGATGATTATCCATTAACAATCTATATTTTTTAATTATATATTACATTTTAAATGAGCTACACAATCACAATACCTTAATCAATATCAGAAATACATATACATATAACAAAATTGAGCTTAAATTTATATCAATAAAACAAAATCCATACCAATACAAATTATTCATATCTTTATCAACCACTTGCTTTGTGTACACTTTAACGCTTGACTTCTGTGGGTTTAATTTATGGAGGTTGAGATGACTATTCCCAGTTTCAACTTGACTACATATGACAATAACTGATTCTCAAATGGCTGGGCACACATGTGAAGGATATTTTTTTCATAATTAAATCCTTTGAAGTGAGAAGACCCATTTCTAATCTGGATCCTTGAGCTAAGAAGATCCACCTTGAATCTGGGCGACACCTTCTGCTTATATAAAAGACATGGAAGAAGGAAACTTTCTCTCTTTACCTATTTGTTCTCACCATTGCTACAAAGTCCGTTCCTTCACTGGCAATAAAGTCTGCTTCTTTACGATCCTGGTGTGCATGGGAGAACAGCTGAGTCATCTAGTTTTGTGAACTGAACAACTTAACTAGATTCTTTATAGACAGCCATTGTCAGACCATAGTCTGTAAGCTGTTCTAATAAGTTTCTAACACCATCCTTGTAACATGAGGGCCTGCTCATTGGGGGTTTCTGTCCCTCCCAGTACCCAACAGCCAGCAAGCCCCAAAGAAAATCACACAGAGATCTCCATAAGTTATAAAACTGATTGGCCCATTAGCTCAGGCTTCTTG